AGACTCAACCAAAGGGAAGGACGAGCCCCTCTCCCATTTTGTGAACCGCTTTACGATGCAAATTCGGGGGCTGTCGGATGCTCACCCCTCTTTGTTAATGCAGGCATTCATGTTAGGTCTGCAGCCTTCCAAGTTCTTTTGGTCTCTTGTGGAGCGACCCCCCACTGCGGTACTCAAGATGCTTCAGCGAGCAAGCCAGTTCGTCGCCGCAGAGACATGGATGGCCGGGAGGCGCGAAGAGCACAAGAGGGTCAAGTCGGAGCCGCCCCGGCAGCAACAATCCGCTACATCACGGCATAGGTTGGACAGATTCGACCCGCCGACACCGAGCCCCCCTCTCCCCGCCTTGAGCTCGTCCTAAACAGAAATATTTCTCCACATAAGGGAGAAGGGACTACTCAAAGATCCGCACCCGATGAGGAGCCCGCGAGAACTTGTAGACCGGTCGACGTACTATCGTTTTCACCGGCAGCATGGGCACGACACTGAACAGTGTCGTGAGTTGAAAAGGTAGATCGATGAGCTTATTCGTAAAGGGCATCTCGGCCAGTACCTTCGGCTGGACAAGGAACTTTCGCCGCACCCAGAGGGTCCCATCGAGCAACACATCGACGTGATAGCTGGCGGCCCCGCATCTGACGGGAACTCCATGACCGGAAGAAAGGCATACGCCCGAGCTCGAGGTCACTTTACCGGCCGGAGCATCCAAACAATCCGAGCACGACGATGCGCTCGTGATATCGGCCAGGATCGCCAACGCGCAAGTAAGAAGGATCATGGTCGATACCGGGAGCTCGGCCGACGTGCTCTATTTCGATGCCTTCCAAAAACTCGGCTTGTCTAGAGAGAGCATGAAGCTGATGTCCTCAGCGCTCACCGGGTTCACCGGTGATTCAATCTCAACGTTGGGAGCAATCACTTTGCCCTTAACCCTTAGAGTCTCGCTGAGGTCGAAGACGGTGATAGCCACCATCTTAGTGGTTGACCTCCCCTCTGCATACAACGCCATTCTCGGTCGTCCAACCCTCAACAAAGTCAGAGTCGTCGTCTCGACTTACTACCAAACCGTGAAGTTCTCGACCCACGCTGGGGTCGGGGAAGTCACGGGAAGCCCCCGCAAATCCAAGTGCTGCTACCTGACCGTAGTTTCGTTACACAATAAGGCAAGGGTCGAACCGCCACTGGGAGATCCTCGGGAGACGAACTAACCAACCCCCCACCCCGAGGGGATCCACCATCGACTTGCCGATATTGGAGGGTCGGCCAGACCGGACGGTCAAAATTGGGTCGGAACTGCCAGAACAGGAACGAAAGCGGCTCGTCGACTTCCTACACGAAAATACCGACGTATTCTCCTGGTCGCCTTCCGACATGACGAGCGTCGATCCGGAGGTCGCGCAACACCACCTCAATATTTTGCCCGACGCCCGCCCGGTGAAGTAAAAACCCAGACGGCATGCCCCTGATCGGTAACTCGCCGTACGAGAAGAGGTGGAACGACTTCTGGCAGCGGGCTTCATAGAAGAAGTCAGATACCCACGATGACTATCCAATGTATTCCTCGTAAAGAAACCCAATGGAAGCTGGAGGATGTGTGTCGATTACACAAGTCTCAACAATGCATGCCCAACGGATTGCTACCCACTCCCAAAGGTCGACTAGTTGGTCGACGCAACGGCCGGACACGCCCGCCTCTCATTCATGGATGCCTTCTCGGGATACAACCAGATCAGAATGGCGCCCGAAGACCAAGAGCATACGACCTTTCTCACCGATCAAGGGGTATACTTTTATAAGGTCATGCCTTTCGGATTGAAGAACGCTGGGGCTACATACCAGCGAACAGTGAACAAGATGTTCGCCCACCAAATCAGACGGAACATGGAAGTTTACGTCGATGACATGATTGTAAAAAGCCAAGAGGCAGGAGCTCACCTTGCCGATCTGGTCGAGACATTCGCCACTCTGCGCAAGTTCGGCATGCGACTCAACCCCACGAAGTGTGCCTTCGGCGTCACCTCAGGAAAGTTCCTCGGGTTTATCATACACGAAAGAGGAATTGCCGCCAACCTGGAGAAGGTCCAGGCAGTCATCAATATGCAGTCACCTAGGACGATCAAGGACCTGCAGTGCCTTAACGGGAGGCTCGCCGCCATGTGTCGTTTTCTTACCCGATCGGGTGATCGCTGCCTCCCCTTTTTCAGGGCACTGAAGAACCCGAAGAATTTTCAATAGACGGTAGAATGCGAGGAAGCCTTCAAACAAGTAAAGCAACGCTTCGCCAGCCTCCCCTGACTTGCCTCAATGTCTCCCGGGGAGAAGCTCGGCCTCTACATGGCGGCCTCTCGGCACGCAGTCAGTTCCGTTCTGATCAAAGAAAACTCTGGCGAACAGCAACCGGTCTATTACGTCAGCCACGTCCTGAATGGGCCCGAGGAACAATACCCACCGATTGAGAAGCTGGCACCGGCGCTTATGCTATCAGCCCGGAAGCTATGCCCTACTTCCAGGCTCACCCGGTGGAGGTCATCACCGACCAACCACTTCGGCAGATCTTGTCTAAATTTGATGTTGTAGGACGTCTTCTCAAATGGGCGGTGGAGCTCGGCGAGCATGACGTACGATACGTGCCCAGAACCGCTATCAAAGCCCAGTCCGTGTCCGACTTCATCGCGAAATTAACTCAGATCGAGGACGTGGATCTCGAGCAACCTTATGAAGCATGGGTCCTGCACGTGGACGGATCGGCCAACTCAAAGGGCGTCGGCGCGGGGTTGGTGCTGCTAGCTCCCGATGGGCGTTCGTTCGAGCGTTCCCTCCGCTTCGGGTTCCAAGCCACTAGCAACGAGGCGGAATACGAGGCGCTCCTAGCTGGGCTCAGGTTGGCCCGTGAAATGCAAGTGGTCGCCATACACGTCCTCACCGACTCTCAGCTGGTAGCCAAGCAACTCAGCGGCGGTTACGAGGCTCGGGACCCAATCATGGTGAAGTACCTGACATAAGTAAAGAACCTGATCTCGCCAAGTTCCCTCATTTTACATTATCTAATGTCTCGAGAGGAGAGAACGAGCGAGCCGACGCGCTAGCTAAGTTGGCATCGAAATCAGCCCCCGAAGTCTGGCTCGAGGTCGAGGAGCTCCCTTCCCGCGCCATCAAAATCAAAGCTGCGGCCTCGGGTGGTGTGCCAATCACGTGGGTACAAGAGTTGCTACGCTTCAAGCGAGACAGGACCCTTCCCCCCGACGAAGCTACGGCTCGGCGCTTGCGCCGTACGCATGCGTGGTACTCCGAGGTGAGCGGATGGCTCTATAAGCGGTCTTTCACATACCCCCTCCTACGGTGCTTGGAGCCCGACGAAGTTCGTACGGTTCTTGCCGAGGTCCACGAAGGAATCCGTGGGGAACACATTGGCGGGCGAACCCTGGCGCACAAAATACTTAGCAAAGGGTACTACAGGCCGACCATGTGCCGGGACGCGAAGGTCTACGTGCAACAGTGCAGTTCGTGCCAAGAGCACGCCCGCGCGCCCCGGCAGCCCGCGGTCCCGCTCACCCCCATCGATTGCGCATGGTCGTTCGCACAGTGGGGTTTGGACCTGCTCGGACCTTTCCCGCCAGCCTCGGGACAGCGGAAATACATCATCGTGGGAGTGGATTATTTCACCAAGTGGGTTAAGGCTGAACCACTGGCGACGATCATGGAGCGAGAAAATTGAAAAGTTCGTGTGGAGAAACTTGGTGACTCGGTTTGGCTTGCCCAAAACCATCATTATAGACAATGGGCCTCAATTCGCCGGTAGAAGGTTCAGGGAGTTTTGTGCAAGCCACGAAATCCAGCTGAGGTTCAGCTCAGTGGCTTACCCTCAGACGAACGGGCTAGCGGAGGTAACCAATCGGTCCATTCTAGACGGGCTCAAAAGAAGAGTGTCGGCAGCCCGATCGACTTTGATGGACGAACTCCTAAGCGTCTTATGGTCATTGCGCACCACCCCGAAAATCGCGACTGGAGAGTCCCTTACAGCCTCGCGTTCGGGACCGAAGTTGTCCTGCCGTCCGAAGTAGCTATTCCCACCCTTCGAACAAGAAACTACGACGAGAGAACCACAAACGAAGGACTTCTTGTCGGCCTTGACATGCTCGAAAAGTGGCGTGCCGACGCGCACTTGAAGGCCCTCTCTTATAAAAGAGTTGTCGCAAGAGTCTACAACCGGAAGGTGCGACCCCGACCAATTAAGTTAGACGACCTAGTCCTTCGCAAGACCGAAGTCAACGACCCGACCCGAGCAAGGGGGAAGCTGGCCCCCAAATGGGAAGGACCTTATCGGGTCGTCAAAATAATCCGATCGGGCACATACCGACTCGCGACAATGACTGGCTCTTCTTTACCGAGAACATGGAACGTCCAGAACCTTAAGAAGTTTTTTGTCTAAAGAAAATAGAAGCTGGGTGACACACACAAGAGAAGAAAAAATTTCTTTTATTAAAGATGAAACAAAGATTACAGGACTTGACCTTGACTTAGTCAAACCGACCACTAAGAGTATTACAAATTTCTACCCTAACCGTCAGAACCCCCGACGCTGTCGTCGAAGGGAACCTCATCCGGCATATCTACGTCTAAGTCCTCGGGGTGCGAGGCAAAAGGATCCACCTCAACTTCCAGTCCGGGGTGGCACGTTCTGAACCGGCCCAGGGCAATCCGGTACCCATACTCATAGGTGACCTGCCCCGACCGGACCAGCCCGAGCTAGAAGCCCGAGGATTGCTTATAGTCCTCGATTATTTCCTTATCTTTTTCTAGCCGCTGATCCCGCTCAGCAGCTAGAGCCTCGGAGGCCCCTTTAGTCTCAGCTAGGGCCCCATCCAGCTTTTGAGTCAGGGTGACCACCTCGTTCCGAGCCAGGCGAGCCTCGGTCTGTGTCACCCTTAGGAGCCCTTGAAGACCCTCCTTCTCCTCTTCAGCTGCCTTCGCCTCAGACCTAAGGCGAAGGACCTCCGCCTCCTGCGCCGAGGTCCGCTGGTCGGCTATCACCGCCTCGGACTTGAGGCGCGTCACCTCCGCCTCGAGCTCCGAGGAGCGCTGCTCGGCTGCTGCAACCGCCTCCGGAGCTGCCCCCGCGCGGACCTCCTCGAGCTGTTTGCGCTGCTCGGCATTCCGGTCGCACAGAATGCCAAGGGCATGACCCGCGTCACGCACGCTGTCTGCCAACGCCATTGTGTAATGTTGGCCTTGCAGAGGAAAAGTCAGAACCATTCTCGGCCGAGCAGGAAGTTGGGGTCCAATGGCGAGACGCTTACCCACATTAGTGACTTCGCAGATTTGCCTAGCAGGACATCTGAGGGCATGGTATACAGCTCGCGAGCTATATCAGGATGAATCCCTCCTCGGATGAACGCGGTTTTAGTTTCCCCGTTGGCCCATACCCGGGTCCCACTTGTCAGCCCCCCCCCAATGGGCCGCTAACCGGTCGGAGGGTTGGCCCTCCTAAAGCTTGCCCATCAAGCGCGCCTGGTAGGACTCGTTTGGCGCCCCCGCAGGAAGGCGGTACAAGTCCCGAATCGACGGCTCCCTAGGCGCTTTCCCCGCCCCCTCGTTGCTCGGCCCGGCCTCCCCCGGCCAAGTCCTCGTCGCCGGTCGCGTGTGCCCGGCTCCACAGCGACTTCGCATGCCGGAGCCCTCGGCGGAGTTGGTTTCTTCTGTGCAGCAACCTTGGCCTTCTTCCGGGGACGGCCAGCCTCGAGCTCCACCGGCGCCTCCCTCGTGCCAAGGCGCGGACCAGCCGGATGACGCGAAGATGTGGTTGACGAAGAGCGCCCTCCGCGCACAGCAGAAAGGTTCACCATTGCTGCACGAAAACGACGACCTCGGTCAGAACACTAAAAAAACGAAAACCTGCCGCTACCCTCTTCAAGGCATACCTCGAGGCACCAAGCTCAGACCCGCCTCGACCAACCATGCCTCGGTCATCTTCCGGATGACTCGGGAGGTCGGAAGGATCTCCTTCAGTCTTTGAAGGGCTTGGCGCTCCTCATCCAGGACCGGAGCGGTGTTGTCGACAGCGCGCGCCGCCCACCGGAGCCCAAAATTCCAACCCTCCGGATGGCATACGTAGAAGAAACGCTCCTTCCACCCCTTATTGCTGGAAGGAGCCCCACTGACCTGGAAGCCCGGTCGGACGGACAGGTAATAACCCCCCGACCCCCTGGATAGACGGAAGCATGAGAGGAAAAGGGACCGGCTCGGGGGAATCCTAGCGTAGTAGCATTCCCCTAAGAATGCCACCAGATAGCATCAGGAATTTAGCGCCATATGAGAAGGGGAGATACGCCACCATGAGACACATGAGCTTATGACCAGAAGGAGAGGGAGGCGCAACCCGGCCTCGAAGGCGTTCAGGGTTATGGCGAAGCCCCTAGGTATAGGGTCATACGCTCGTTGCCCCGGCTCGGGAGCGATGAGCGTGAATTCCGCCGGGATACCGTAACGATCCCGAAGGGAGCCGAGCGACGACTCGCTCACAGTTGAGTCGAGGTCGTGTGGCCACATTAACGATTCAAGGGCTTTGACAGCCCTTTCCTGGGATGACGAGCGAGGACTCGCCGGCAATGCCCTCTCTCCGGCAGTACCGGAAGCGGAAGGCGAGAAAGAAAAGGGCAGAGAAAGAGAAGTCATCCTTACCAAGTCTTGGAAAGGAAGGTAGGGCGGCCGATGGGTACGAAACAAGGTCGCCCGAAGAGAGGGTTGAGCAAATGCAAGTATCATGACGTACAGGAAGCCGACAGAGCGCTATTTATAGGCCACGTCCCTCCAAAACGGCGACCCTTCCTCTCCTGAAGTGCGCTCCGAAGACGCGAACGTCACTTCGCCATAAATGTAGCCTGACGTGGCAGCCAACTGTCGAACGATGCGAAGTACGGAGGCGCTAATCATATCAGCCTCGAAAGCCGACGACTCCCGAAAGAGACGGCCCCTTGAGCTTCCCCAGGAAGACAACAACCTAACCGCTTGTGCCCGTGCACGGCTGAGCAATCGGTCACTAACCAAAACAAAGTCGCTCCTCGGCCTCATGTCGCCCGAGACCACCTCCTCTGCGCAGCCTGCCCGCCCGAGACGTGCTCCTCGGCCTCATGTCACCCGAGACCACCTCCTCTGCGCGGCCTTCCCGCCCGAGACGTGCTCCTCGGTCTCATGACGCCTGAGAC